GTTCTGAAAAGTCCTGATCAGCACATTGCACAAAGACACTAACAGGTTTCTTATTTGACCCGACGAGACCACACGACGCTTGCAGACCACAGCATGAACAGTTCACCAGCCACACTCCACGGATGAGCTCCCCGCCATCTTTATGGAACGAAACAAGACTTTGAAGAAGGGCTGAGGCTTCCTGTAGCTTCATCTGTGAAAGGAATTCGGGTGGATACACCCATTCCCATAACGCTGCAAATCCGAACCAGTTCCGTTATTTTTACAACGTCTCGGCACTTGGGCATCGTCAGGTAATAACAATGACCTGACGATAGCCAAGTGCCGAAACGTTGTAAAAACAACGGAACTGGTTCGGATGTGCAGCGCTGTGGGAATGGGTGTGTCCACCCGAATTCCTTTCACGAACTGACAAGACTTGTCAGGAGTAATACTGCTTTCGTGGAGTGTGGCTGGTGAACTGTTCATGCTGTGCTCTGCAAGCGTCGTGTGGTCTCGTCCGGTCAAATAAGACCCTATTACCGTACTATTCGATGGACCTCTGGAAGATGGCAACAAAGAATTAAAGACAATAGCATGAGTTGCTGATAGTTTTGCTGTTGCTACTCTTCCATATCACTCTACGTATCTTCACCATGGTTGGCTAACACCCACTCTCCCAACATTCTCCTCTGTTTCCACTGAGCCTAGAGATGAAGTAGTAATATTTATACCTCTACTTACTAGTATATAGCTTGCACAAGACACTCCGGTCGGTCGGGTTAGCAGACATTACCGTAATGAGATCACGTGATGAGATGGTGATCTGCTACAAACCTATAAACTACCCCAGCGGCAAGTTTTACTGCATCCCATGGAGCGCCTTTGCAAACTCTGGCTGACACTCAACGGTTGCGAATCATATCGTGGTGAACGTTTTCAAGTGAATGATCAAACGTTTCTGTCATCAGAACAATCATAAAGAATGAAAATGAAATGTGAAATTAGAGACTACAAGACTACATGACTATATATAGGGGAAGTTCCCCACTGGTGTGATTTACACAAACAGAAATAACCTACAGCTACAAAATTCACACCTCACCCCAGAACATTGGTAGGATGTGCGAGAATTGTCTGCTACTCAAGACAATGTGACAATAGTGGAAAAATCACAGAAGTACTGTAACAATAACGTATGCTGATTGTGTCGCTACAAGAGTGTTATCTTTTTTTAGGTTATGTTTGTTTGGTAGTTGTCCCCAGCAGTACAAATCTAGTAGGATTTACGAATACATTTTCAACACCTGTCTGCCTCAGTAACAAGTATGCGTATGTATGTGAAAGCTGAGACTACCGTTGGTAACGGGTCATTTGCGTGTTGAAGACGATGCTGTTCACCCAGTACCTTTCCTGCCACCTGGTTGGGACTGACATTCCTACATAGCTGATTGCTACATCACATAGTGCTAGATGATTTACATGTACCAATCAGCTATATCAGTTATTCCCCTAGCTATGCAGTGACCTCTGTGATTGATAGTGCTAGCTGATAATATACGATTACCAACCAGCTATGTCCGTTATCCCTAGCTATGCAATGACCTGTCTGTTTGTGTGTGTAGTATGCTGAAC